TTTACTACAGCAAAAATCCTATCAGAAAGCTTCTGTCTGGGAGAAACAGGAGGGGTTCTGAGCTGGTAGCAAAGGACTCTGTCTTTTCTAGGGATTTTATAGAATAAAATCATGTGGTGAGATAGGTTTAAAATGGATTAGATTACTGAAGTTGCTGAGGAGATAAATTAGCACAGTAGAGAAGCAGAATATAAGAAATGTAAAAGTGGCCTTTTACCTAAAGAATGTGGAGAGGAGCCCACAGCACTAAGGGTTTGGCTTTTTTTTTTTTTCCGACTGACTATGGGGTTATGGGGTATGTGTGACTTTTGACTGGATGTGGTGCTTGGAGGGGAGATTGATGTCATGCGAGAGCTGACAGGAATTTTCTTTAGGCCTCTGGGAAAGAAAGAGGAAGTTGTAATTAAGGAGAAAAGAGGAAGTGGCAAATGAGTAAGCATCCCTGATTTTACATTCTTCCACTCTGAACTACCACCATGAGGTCCTGTAATTGTTTCTAAGGTAAAACACTTTGAAGTACATCCTTTGCTTGGAATGAAGAAATCAAAATAAAGAATGTACTTTTTGAGAGAAAGAAAGCTGCCTGAGAGAGAGAAGGGGTCCTGATCAGGTTGCCAAACACTGTCCTTTCTAGGGACCTTTATAGAGTAAATTCATGTGGTGAAATGAGTTTAAGGTGGGGAAAACTAGTAACTCACAATGCAGATGGGCATAAGGTGGGAAAGAGCTATGGTACCCAATAGGATTATTAAGTTCAGGTAAAGCTGATTAAATTGGGAACAAAGCAGGAAGGGAGTCACATAGACAGCAGGCATTCTTAGGCAGCTGTGACTCTTCCCTTAGGGGTTTGGGAGGGTGACTTCTGAGTTCCTCCATATGATAGGAACTATTTAGAATGTCACTCTTCAGGATAAGGATACATTTATTTCAGTGGTGACTCCTGACTTCCTCAGAGTGCTAGGGAACTATTTAGAATATCTATCCCTAGAATATGGATGAATTTGCTTATCATTGTCTTGAGCCTTGGCCCATAGCATGAGGTGTCAGTCTTCCCCATAGTTGCAAGGTGTCTGGTCCCCTGCATGGGCTACTTGGAGGACCTAGCCTTGGTTCATGCCAAGAGTATTTAAGTAACTCAGGTGCCTTAGTAACAGTACTTTTTTGATTAGAGATGTCTTGTGCTCTGGGTGAATGATCTGGGGATGACAATGTGCAATGTATATACCAGTGTTGCCCCCTGATTGACATGTTTTGAAATTCAATTTTAGTTGATGTGCTCTTTTTTCCTTGAAATAAAATGGATTTGAAAATTAAAAGCCTGAGGTAAAGCTCTTTAGTACAAACACTCCTCTGTCGAGCTGAGTTCACCACTGTTGAAGAATGGCAGCTGCTGAAGTCTCTGCACTATAGTCTATCATTTGGGATCCTCTCTTGCAGGGAGTTCCTTTCTCTGTTTTTTCTTGACTCAGAAGGAGGAGTCAATCAGTGATGAAGGGGCAGGCTATATGAACTGTTCAATCAGGTGGGCCATTGCTGGCTGTGACTTCTGTCTCTTCCAGTGTCTCAGCATGATTTATCTGTTCTGAGTACAATAGTGGTAGCAAAATGCTTGCTGGATCTCATTTAGTACTTTTCAGGTCCTGTGGCCTGATTAGCAAAGAACCTGAGAGATCCTGGAACCATGGAATAGTGAGCTTGTGGATGGAAGCCCAGAAATAGGGTGGATTGGGTGAAACCCGTTAGAAGTATTTAGGAGTAGTTGTGGTGTCTGGAGCCTCAGGTATTTAGTTAGCTTCAGCTCCTGAGGTCCTCCAGCATTGACCATGGGTCATTCACTGTCACTTTTGCCTCTTGCTTTTGGCAAGGGTGATTTGGGGTCCCCAGTACCCTGGCTTCACTATGACAGCAGTAGACACAAGTATCATCTTTGAAATTCATTGCTAGCCTGGTAACTCCACCATCTTAGGCATTGGAAGGAGCTTGGGAAGACTCTGAATATGATGATTTGTAGCTTGTACAGCAGTAATGAGCTAGGTCTATACTCTCTTTCCTCAGAGTAGCAGATCTAGAATGTCCAGAGTTTATTAATGTCTGTAATACAGGGCCTCATAGCCACAATGGCTCAACTTAAACTTGGGCTTTTTTTGTATTTATAGTGATCTCCTCCATTTATAGTATGTTCTCACATTTCCATCCTCATGACAGGTAGTGGCAAAGGTCCTGAGAATTCAGAGATGTGTAGTAGTGTGCCTCAGTGGAGAAAGGCTTCCCAAACTCCTGTGTTTTATACAGATCAGTGCAAAATAATTTCTGAACACACTTAATAATTTAGGTGGCACCTCGGCTCACAGACTAGGTTTGTGAGAAAAGCCATAGAGTTTTGAAGTCTGAGAAAAATGAAACAATATCAAAATGTTATTAAGGCAGGGTAAATATTTGTGAAGGACAAATTCCAGAAAGGGCTACCTTTTAAATTCTCATAGAAAAATTCCAAAATTTAGACATTTGCATGGACATATACACGTGATACCCTTCTAAATGTAAAGGAATAGTGGTGTTATCTCTGAATTAAGAGCTGATTTAGTAGCTTGGTTGTTCATAGACAATTTAAATATAGAGATGCTCTGCAATGGACTTATCTAAGTGGTGTAAAGGTGAAGCCCTAATTATAAATTTTGCAGTGATATCAATAGATAGGCATGAAGGGTTTTCTGCTTAGGATGGATCAGAGGAGTGTGGAAAGCATGTGGAAGTGACTGACAGGATGCAGGAAGCAAATAGCAGGACATACAACAGAGAGGGTCTTCACTGAAAGTCAGGTAGTTCTTAGAGTAAGTATGAAGTAAAGTTGTGTTCTGATTGCTTCTTTGAGGTGATCAACACCAGCTCTGGCAACAATCAGTATTCCACATCCCTGTCAACCCATGATTTTTGTGGTCCATACTTGAGATCTAATTTTGATTATCTCTAATTATTCCCCAGTGTCATGAAGGTGAAATTTGAATTTTTTTTGTACTAAGGACCAAACGCATGACCTATGCTTTCCAGGCAGGCGTTCTTGCCACTGAGCTAAATACCCAACTATGAAAGTGTTTTCTGTGTAGTATGGAAGATATCCACATTGTTTCTCAGAAAGTGTTGAGTATTGTTGGAATTTTTCTGTATTGTATGCCTATAATGTTTTAAAACCAACCAAAGATGTCTTATGCCATCTCTTTTTAAGTTTCACTTGGTTTGCTCAGTGTCTCAGTCAGGGATTGTCTATTTTAGACAGCTCTGTAACTTAGGATAGCCCCAAATTCAAGGAAGAACTACTTCACCAGCCTCCCAAGATATATTTCTTATATTTGAATTGAAAGTGATCACTTGGTGACAGTGAGGTATAATTTACAGCTTGGGCCTGGTTTCATTTTATATACATATTTTTAAAATACAGCTGTTTTCCACTAACACTTGAGTTATTATTTATGTACCATATTTGATGTTACTTATGTTTTGTTCTATGAAACCAAATTAATGTTTCCAAATGCTACTTAAGTATATTAAGAACAAAGTACTCATTGGCCTAAATGAGATTTGAAGAAACATCATCTGTAGTCTATCAAAGTGATTGATGAGATTTTTTATTTAATTTTGAAATTGGCAAGATACAACAGAACAAGGCAGCATAAGGCCAACTAAGATCATACAGTGAAATTGTTACACAACTTCACAACAGGTTACTGGGATAATAGTAATAGGTATCACAGTATATTTTGTTATCTTTGTAATAGTTGTTCTTTAATCACATATCAAAATGAGATGAAATACAGAACACTATAGAACTTATCACAACAGAATATTGAATAGAGCAGTACCATTAATCAGAATAGAGTGAAACAATAATAAAAACATTTTTCTTCAAAGAGATAGTACAAGGAAGTCCCCCTTATTTGCTATGGTCTACTTCAAAGGAGACGCTCAGATTTCTGGTTACCATTTGCTAATGTGGGGTGACCGTTGAAGAGGGGTAGGGAAATGGGATGTTTGATTCTAGGTGGTGCATCAGTAGGTTCACTATTGCTTACTAGGGAGACAGGCTGGTTGTTTGGTTTCACAGCGTCCTAAGTTCCAACATGGCATGGATCTCAGGAGCTGCTGCTGGTTCTCCCAATAGAAGGGCTGCAGTTTGCCAGACTGTCACTGCTCACCAGGGAGGGGAGGTGCTTGCTTGGCTTCCCAGTGTCTTAAGTTCCCACATGGCATGGATTTCAGAAGCTGCTGCTGGTTCTCCCCCTGGAAGGGCCGCATTCTGCCAGACTGCCACTGCTTACCAGGGAGAAGTGGTGCTTGCTTGGCTTCCCAGTGTCCTAAATTCCAACATGGCATGCATCTCAGGAGCTGCTGTTGGTTTTCCCCCTGGAAGGGCTGCAGTCTGCCAAACCACCACTGCTGACCAGGGAGGGGAGGTGCTTGCTTGGCTTCCCAGTCAGTTGATGAGATATTTATCTGCCTTTGTGCTTTGTGGTTGCTTGTCCTACAGACTTCTCACTGTGAGCTCTGCTTTAGAGAAAGTGCACAGGGAATCTTGCCATGACTCAGCACAAGAATCAGTGCTCCTATTTGGCTGTTACTTTAGCAGTGAGTTGCAATCTAGCATCAAATTGGCTGTCTTCAAAAATGTGTATAGACACAAAATTAATGACCAAGACATGGATTTAAATTTTAACAAATCAGTCTTCAATCAGCTATTTGTTTGGCTTTATTTGTTTAGTTTAGTTTTGTTTTATTGAGACAAGCTTTCTGTATGTATATCAGCTGGATTTGAACACCATATGGAGCCTAGAATTGCCCTGACTTCACTGATGGCTTCCTGTCTCTGCCTTTTGAGTGCTGGGATTATAGATATGCATCACCACACTTTGCTTTTGATTCAGATTTGTAGGAGATAATTTAAGATATCCCAAACCTGGGGTCTCAACCTTCCTTTGAGAAATATATATAAATATATGATCCTTTAGAAGGCGGTGACCTTTGAGGATGTGATTGTGAACTTCAGCAATGAGGAGTGGAGTTTGCTGAGTCCATCCCAAAAGAACCTCTACAGAGATGTGATGGGTGAAATCTTTAGGAACATGGCTGCAATAGGTAAGGATGAAATATTTTTGGCACTCATGCTGTCAGAATATTGTTTGTTGCTCATTAGTGCTGTTTCATTAAAAAGAATATGAAAATATTTTTAAAAATAGCTCAGACATGGAAACATTATATCATAAATCTAAACATAAATCTATTAATTTGTATGTATTACTCAACTGAGTCCTGATATTTATATGTCTACAATTCAGGAGGACTTGGGGATATCCATGAAGCTGAAAAAGAAGGCAAAATTTACTGGAGATACTTAAGGTAATTCACACTCACAAGGAGAGGAATGTTCCTGAGTAATTAGTGAGTCAGCAGAAAAATGACCACGAAAGAAGTGAGGCACCATTCAGTTTAATGTCAGTAATATTCTCTGAAGATATATAAGCTAGTGTATATATGAGGGAATTAAATCATGAAAATGTATGACACTGCATATAGATGTGTAAGAAAGGCATACACTTTGAGTTGTGACATTCTGCCTTTAGTTTTTCTACCCATATATACATGTGAATACAACACATTCATTATGTAACAATTGCTAAGATTGCAATAGAATTTGAAATAAAACTGAGTGCTCATGTTTCCAAGCCATGCTCTAGACAATCAGCAATTCTGATTAATATTCTTAGTAGGCTGGTGAACTGTTAGTGACTTCATTTTGAATATCAGTATGCAGTTGTCTCTAGAAATTGATCCCCTCATACTTGTCCTGGATATTTTTAAAATCTCTAAATCTGCATAAAATACTGATACATGCTTACTCATATATAAAGCAGATCAAGTTATAACAGATCAGGCCTTGAAGCAGATCTATCTATCACTGGATTTGTGGAGAAGGAAAATGTAAATAGACTCTTAGTGATTCTGCATTCTTGTAAACCCAGCACACTAGAAATCAGATTTTGCAGAATGGCAAATTCAAGTTCAAACTTCACAGCTTAATGTTCAGTGAAAATCTCTTAAATATATTTTTAAAAAGCTATAGATTTATGCTAATACCTGTTGTTCATTCCCAGCCCAGAAAAGAAAAATATGTGTTATATAATGTCAAAAAATAAATAATATAATGTCATTTGCCAAAAGAATTAGATGGGTCTTTCACCCATCAATTCAGTGAAATAGCTTAGCTATAAAACCTAAAAGGTCACAGGGTTTCTTTTAGATGAGAAACCAAAATACAAAATGTGGAATGAAATTAAACAGAGTTGTTAGAGAAAAGTAAGACTGACCATATGGAAAAGGGAACTACAGGTTAAGGACAGAAGGGAGATTGTGATAGGGAAACATATGAGAATAATCTGCATGTGATACACATATGCACCCATGCCCAAAGTGAAGCTAAAGATTCTGCATTTCAAAGTACGAATTTTTAAGATTTCCTAATGTGTACCATCCTTTTGGGAATGGTTGTTTTCAACATATCTTACAAGGCCATTCTGTTGCTTCATGGTCAGAATTTCTTAGCAGGCATTGAAAACAGAACTTGATATTAATGCACTCATTAAACGGAGACCCATTTTACTGTGAATTTTTCTTTTTTTAAATTTAATATAAGGAAAATTAAATTAGAGAAAATAAGAAGGAACAATATTGCTTTCAAAGTGAAAATAAACAGAAAGAAATTGCAAGATGATGATTACATATGCTGCTCATAGAAATTGTTATGAAATACAAAAGTGAAACATATGAAGAGGGGATTCAAACAGTGAGACTGCAAACAGTTTTGTTCAACTCTCCAAGAAAAGCTTAGTAATATGCTTATAAATCCTATATGTGATTTTTTTTTCTTTACAGAAATGACAAGCTACGAAAATCTTATGGACATACATCTTGGAATCAGTGTAAAGAAGTATTCCTTTGTTCTGCAGAAGGTAATGTGAATGTGAAAGAAACAGAAACACACCACAATGTTCAGATCCATGAAAAATATTGCAGTGGAGGGAAACCCTACGTATGTGAGCAATGCGGGAAAGGTTTTACCACACATGGAATTTGTAAGAAACATGAAAGAATTCACAGAGGAGAGAGACCTTACGTATGTAATCAGTGTGGGAAAGATTTTACAACATGTACATATTGTCAAGTACATGAATGTCTTCACTCCAGAGAAAAATGTTATAAATGTAAGCACTGTGAGAAAGCTTTCAGCACATGTACTTATTGTGTAATCCATGAAAAACTTCACACTGGGCAGAAATCGCATATATGTAAGAAATGTGGGAAAGCTTTTAGCAGTAAAATTCATTTTCAAATACATGAAAATGTTCACACTGGAGAGAAACCCTATGTGTGTAAGCAATGTGGAAAAGGTTTCACTCAACTTGGACACTGTAAGGAACATGAAAGAATTCACACTGGAGAGAAACCGTATGGATGTAAGTAATGTGGGAAAGCGTTTAACACACGGGGAGACTGTAGGAAACATGAAAGAATTCACACTGGAGAGAAACCCTATGTATGTAAGCAATGTGGGAAGGCTTTTAAAACACAGGGAGCTTGGAAGAATCATGAAAGAATTCACACTGGAGAGAAACCGTATGGATGTAAGGAATGTGGGAAAGCTTTTACCACACCTGGATATTGTAAGGCACATGAAAGAACTCACACTGGAGAGAAATCATATGTATGTAAGCAATGTGGGAAATCTTTTAACACATTGGGAGACTGTAAGAAACATGAAAGAATTCACACCGGAGAGAAACCTTATGTATGTAAGCAATGTGGGAAAGCTTTTACCACACCTGGATATTGTAAGGCACATGAAAGAACTCACACTGGAGAGAAACCATATGTATGTAAGCAATGTGGGAAAGCTTTTAACACATTGGGAGACTGTAAGAAACATGAAAGAATTCACACCGGAGAGAAACCTTATGTATGTAAGCAATGTGGGAAAGCTTTTACCAGACCTGGACATTGTAAGGAACATGAAAGAATTCATACTGGAGAGAAACCATATGTATGTAAGCAGTGTGGGAAAGCTTTTACCAGACCTGGACGTTGTAAGGAACATGAAAGAATTCACACTGGAGAGAAACCATATGTATGTAAGCAATGTGGGAAAGCATTTAACACTCATGCATATTGTAAGGTTCATGAAAGAATTCACACTGGAGAGAAACCATAGTTATGTAAGCAATGTGGGAAAGCTTTTAAAACATAGGGAGATTGTAAGAAACATGAAAGTTCACATTCAATATAAAACCTGTGTATATAGGCATCATGAGAATGGTTTAGCACATGTACATATTGCATAATGCATGAAAATCTTCACACTGGGCAGAAAACTTACATATGTAAGGAATATGGGAAAGGTTTCAGCAGAAATGCTCATTGTCCAATACATTATAAAATTTACATGGTTGAGAAACTCTGTGTATGTGAAGAATGTGTGAAAGCTTTCACCACACATGGATTTTATAAAATACATCAATGACTTCACACTGGTGAGAAAGCCTATGTACATAACAATGTGGCAAAGCTTTTACTGCATATAGTCATTGCAAAACACATGAAAGAATTCACACTGGGAAGAACCACTGGCTATGTATCCAAGTGGAGACACTTTCAGCAGCCAGATTGTAAGTGAAATACATGAAAAAACTCACACAAGAGATAAATCCTATGTGTTATGTGAATACTCTTAGCATACATGATCATTGTTAAATATCTGAAAGAGCTCACTGGGCAGAGATGCTATGTTGATTAACAATGTGAGAAATATGGCAATCCATGTTTCTTGTTAAATACATAGAAAAAGCATCACTGTTCAGACAGTTTAGATCTAAGTTTACTTTAAAAATCCCAAGGAGACCTGAAGAAATAATCAATACAGAAGTTAGATGTCAAAATTTCTTCACAAATATTCCAGAAATGACAAATCTGAGGTGGAGCTCTACTCAATTGCATATGTTTTATGATTTTCAGTTAATCACTTGTACCTCTCTAGATTTTTAAAAGTGTTTTTGTGCTTCAACATGGCATCTTGTAATTAAAAATGCTAAACTGAAATGGGCTTTTCACTTTCAAGTATGGATAATGTCTATGTACTTAATATTTTGTCTTTAAAACTTAAATTTTATATTTTTTGGTGAATTTTAATGTTGTTTATTTAAAGAGAAAAAAAGTGTAGAAATAATACAGAATTGCAGAAAAATAAACAATAACAAATCACTAGTTGATTAGTATCATATTGTTATCTTAGAAGTAGTTGTTCAAATTACAAATTTAAAGCATACAAAGTGATATTCAAATAATCACACTGTCAACAGTTCACCTCAATGATCCACCAAAAAGTTACTAATATGCCTATCTGTCCTACACACTTTTTTTTCTTAAAGAGGGTAAGATTAAACATGGCAAAACAGAGCAGAACATTTCATAAGGAAACAAGTTAAGGAAACACAGATTTCAAAGCAATTCCACTGGAAATGTTCACTGTCTATTTTACTGTCTCTAGTTTTCTTCCAAATAGTTGTTCCCATCTTCACACACATTGAATATATACTGAATATTATAGAACTAATCAAATAATTACAGGATGATGCAGGCTTTTTCGATCTTCAAGACTGATTTTGGGGAAGTCGATAATGACTACTACAATGTCTCTCATTCTCTTTGTAGTAGCTGTCTTTATCTTTATGTATGCTGAAATTGAACATAAGAGATTGGACTAATATCACTCTGAACATTGAATAATAGTATCCTGAGAAGGAGAAAGGTGAGGAATTGCCTAAAAAAAGAAGGCAGAGCACATTGTTAAAAGTGTATCAGGATTTAAAAGCTACAGTAGTCTGGTTGCTCTGTTCAGTTTGGTTATATTTAGTTCTGGTCTGTCTACTCATATTAGATTTGAGGTCACAGAGGGATAACGCAAAACGAGCAGGTTATACCATGGTAATTATCCTTAATTTCCTATTAACTAAAACTGAATCCCTATATTACTTACATTGTCTTCTATGACTGATCTTCTTTGAAGCTGGATTGTTTCAATGTTATTTGGCCTTGGCTGATTTTATTCACATTTGGTAAGCTTGCTGGTATCAAGTTCAAGAACAGAGGCAACTACTCAGAAGATGGCAAGATGTAAAAGATATCCACTGGTGGGCTGGGGATTTAGCTCAGTGGCTTAAGCACCTGGCTGGCAAGTGTGAGGTCATGAGTTTGATCTCCAGAGCCAAAAATAAATAAATAAATAAAAGATATCCATTCCAGGTTTGATTATTTTTTAATTAAAGAGAAAAAAGAAAGGAAATAAACAACAAAGCAGTAAAAGGGTACAAGTAATACAGAATTTCAAGGAAAAAATACAGTAAGAAATCACTAGTTAATAGGTTACATATTGTCATCTTAGAAACAGTTGTCCAAATTATAAAATTAAAGCATATAAATTGGACATTCATACAGTGAGATTGCAGAAAGTTCTATTCAGAGATCCAACAAAAGCTCAGTAATATGGTTTTCCATTTACACACTCAAACATGCAGTTATATCCCTTAGACCACCTTCCTTTCCTCTCTTTTTTACAATAACAATTACATGTTTTGAGCTTTTTTACTCCCACAGTTCTTATTAAATTTTTTAGAAGAGAATAAATCCTAACATGACTAAATAAAACAGAGTCAGTTAGAACAGAAGGATGGGCATAGTACATGATGCAAAAATAGAATATCAGATGATCAAAAATGGTTACCATTGTGCCTCTTGCTATTTTTAAAAAGAGTTGCTATATCATCAGGTATAATAGAATTGATCAAAACAGTACAGAACAAGACCAATAAAACCTACACTGGAGACTTTGCAAGATTTCAAAAGAAGATAATAGTCAAACTATAATGGGCATCATAATAAATCTTATTACCTTTAAAGTGGTTGCCTATACCCTCAAACTTGATACTATCAAACAAAATAGAATATAGTAAAATCAGGCAGAACAAGATGTGGAGAGCAATACTGGCATTCAAATCAGGTTAATAGGAAAACAAATAGTTACTATAATATATCCCGCTATTTTTAAATTTAGTTTTCCCTTAATTGAAAAAAATAAAAAATAGTTTAATTTTTAAAAAAGGGTGGAGATTGAGATAAAATAGGACATTGTAATAGAACAACACTGGTCAGAATGGAACAATTTAAGCATAATTATGTTTCAGTTTCAGATAATCTAACATAATAGTAGTCACCATAGTGCCTCATTCCTTGAATTATTTGAGTCTAACTTTGTATACGATAGCATCAAGCATATCAAGACAGTGTGAAGCCATTCAACAGAATGAAGGAATTACAGGGTATTTAGAACCAGTTAACAGAAAATGAACAATGGTTTCTATATTATCTCCTTGCCTATAAAAATTTTTCTTTATACTATCGCATATTTTTGTTAAAACCAGTGGAAACAGATAGTTTGTTAGAGAAGGACCATTCTGGCACCACTGAGATTGAGCCCAGTGTTGATCATGTTGGTTAATTTTGAATATGCTGGTGAGTTAACATTGCAAACATTTAGCTGAACACATTTGTGTATGTTTGGAAGGAATATTAGCCAACAGAGTGTTTTCATTTATATTATTTTTAACACATTATTATCTGGCTTCATTCTCAGGATAACTTTAACTTTGTCACTTAAAAGAAGTTGGTGGTGGGTTTTCCTTCAACTTGATCAAATAATTGAAAAACAATCAGTATTTATTCTTTATTATATACTGGATAAAATTCACCAGTGCACTTATTGTATCCCAGCTTTGTTGTTGTTGTTAAGCAGCTGTGATGTTTACACATTGCCTGTGCTCCTTATTGCTCTGTTCATCAGACTATTTCCTTCTGATGCATGTGGTTCGGGGACATCAATGGACACCACATATCCATTAAAGGTCACATCTCATTTTACTTACGGATGCTCCCATTTACTTTTGTATCTTCAAACTATCTCTATAATATATAATTTTGTGAGTAACTCCTTTCAGTTATTCAGATTTAATGCACATTCTTGCATGGTGTGGTTACTGCTGGAGGAAACTGGGCCTGGTGAAGGCCTGGTCTCTTATTTAAGGCTTTATACCCTGACCTGCCTGCAGTGTCCCCATCTCCTGACCTGCTCCCTGTAAACTACCTGTCCTGCTCCATAGCTATGGTGAGTCCACATGTGGCAGTTCAGATCTGCACCTGGGTGGAAAACATTCAGTCAAGTTGGGCTCTGAAACAGATTGACCTCATACATAGCTCCCCTGAGTGACACAGGAGGCCTGAAGCTTGTAGGGAGGAGATCTGAAACCATTCCAGCTCTCTCCTGTCCAGTGTGGAATGTGTGACACTTTCCTTAGAACTCACTGATGGATGAGGCAGCCTGGACTGGGCCTTTTTTAGCCATGGTTCCTGCTAGGTGATATGGTGTCCTCCTCCTCTTCCTGGACCATCTCTCTGACTTCAGATCTCCACAGAGATTTGAGCAGACTCAGTCTTCCTCTACCAGTGTCTAACTCTATGCTGAGGATTCAAGTGGAATATCTGCGACCCTCAAATTCATCTTATATACATTTAACCTGGAAATTCCACTTCTAAGGGTCATTATAAAAAATGAGATTGATAGACGCCACCATATTCACTTCTTAATCAGTTAAGGTGTGGACAGTTAGAAACCATGAATGTTCCACAGCACAGCTGCTGAGTTAATTATAAATTACAGCCAGTGAAAAATGCTGAAAGAAGGCCATGTCCCTGATCTTTCCTGAGATGGAAGAGAGCTTGTGTCCTGGCTCTCTCTCCACCCAGCAGTGAAGAGACACAGACCTGCACAGCTGTTGAGGACAGGAGAGAGAAGCTGGTCAAGGGCAGACCTCTCATCCTGGTAGGGATGCCTTTGTGGTTTTTCCATTTTATTTTCCACTGCATTATTTATAGTGCTCCATTCAATATTACTTCTCTTCTGTTCAATTCACTTAAGAATAGTTGTTATTTTCTTTAATAGGTGAGTAGAAATGGGTGACTTAATACTCTTTTTTGTATGTAATGTAGGATACGCATATAGAAGAACATTCAAGCTTCACTTTATAGATATATAAAATAAGGAGTCTTTTTATTCACAAAGGAAACTCATCATTCACGACTAACTTTTAAACCCCCAACACATGAAGCCATGCGGATCCCGCTCTGGTGGGTGTCCTGCCCTCCTTACCTGAGAAGTCACTGTGTTCATCTGTGTCTGGTAGATGACACCCAGAATCTTCTTCAGAGTCTCTTTTTCCAGCAAGGAGGACTTGAATCTTCCTGTCCTCAGGCCAAGCTGGGAGTGTGCAACATGCAGAGGAGCCCAGCACCTCCTGCCTTACACCCATTTCCACCACTGCATCCATGCTGCAGCACTGCAGGCCCAATAAGGCAGAGCCACGAGGGTGCAGCACAAACTCTGCCACCTCAGCCCCAGGGGCCTCAACTCCTGGGTCCTGGCCTCAGCCTCCACCAGGCTCCAGGCTCTGCCTTGGATTGGACATTCATAGCGGGTCAGACACAGGATCAGTGCCTTGGGGCAAAGTCCATTTTCCACAGTGACAATTCCATTCTTTAAATTTTGATCCGTTCCTTTCTAAATGAGGCTGAAGCATTGGAGACAAAACCCCACACATTGGCATTACTTTTGTTTTTCTTTCTTTTCCTCCTCCTCCTCCTCCTCCTCCTCCTTCTTCTTCCTCTTCCTCTTTGTCTTCATGTTTATCTTCTTTATGGTTTCTTTGATGCTTTAAATATATATTTAGAGGTGTATTTTGCCAAAAAACATTCCTTGTCTTTTCACATCCCAGTTAACTGAAGTTTTTACAGATTTCTGCTGCAGTTCACACCCTATGTGTTTGAACATTCAGAATCCATTCTGCAGCTTAGTAGAATGAGTGAAGCAAAGCAGAAACTGAACTTGGGGATGTTACTGTGCTCTCCACCACTCTGACTCATATCTTTTTACCTCAAAAATATGGGCTTTAGTAGCAGCTGAGTCTGGCACAGACAAAATGAGTTTCC